TGGTTCTTCACAATCATCGTCTAAATCTTCATATACTATATCAGCATTGTCTTCTTGTCTCCCCGGATGATAACTAGTATGTTCGATGAGATCATTTCCATCTCCTGCTTCTTCCTCCGAGGAAAGTATTTCTTCTATTATGTCATCAGCTTGATATTCATTTGTATACAACTCATTTCCATGAGGAGTTTTTTCATGTGGCGATGCCGGCAGCACCGAGTCTTCGTCAACCAGTTCAATTACATCATCATCGTTGCCTTCCTCATTATCTAACATGCCTACTAAAGGGGACTCCAATTCAAGATGCATACGCTTCTCGGCAATTACCTGTTGCTCATTATAAAGTGCATTTAAGAAGCATTCTTGTTCTGCTTGCGGGCGTGTGCACATTGTCACACCTCGCTTGCGCAGCTCCAACCTCAGACGTTCTTGGACTGATATTTCTTTTGGATTCTCTTCATTCACCACCTCCAAAGGACTTTCATCACAAATCTCAGTGATGGAAGTACTTACTTGTTGCTCATTAGCTTCAAGTCGCAAGCGTTTACCAGCAATTGTTTTTCCTGGAAAGTGTTTTCCAATTTCCGAATTAATATTCGTACCAGCTTCATTCGTTGAAGTGCAAATGTTTTTGGCTACATCGGATGCCAGTCTCGTCGGTACGGGCATAACAGAATATTGTGCTGGTATTACCTCAACATTTAAAACAATGGCTCGCTCATCGCCTGTGGTGGTACTAATCGCTTGTGTTTGCATTTCCTGCCGCAAACGCTTCTCAGTTTCTTCGCTTTGTTTTCGCAGCCTGTATGAGAAACGCAATCCAAACTCGCATTGTTCGCAAATATGTTTCGGTAAGACATCACCTTCTTTTACCTTAAATGAAATTATAATTTTGTTTAAATTGTAAGACAATAAAATTCGTAACATTACTGTAATATTCGCACAAACGGCCAACAACTCCGTCAGTTGATGGTTGCCTAGAAAACATTTAAGGGATTCAATTCCTCCGCAAATGCGACATACTTCCATTTTTTACGTCTAAATTTAAATAGTGTTTTCAGCTTTGTGCCACGATTTTTTTAGGAAATATTTTGTTAAAGCTATTTAAATTAATCAAAAATGGGGCACAAATAGTTTATTTACTAAAGAAAACCAACAACATGGAAATAATGCACTGCTGTCACAAATGTCAAATTGTCAAATAATCGGAAATTCAAGCCATTTGGCAGTTATCGATAACTTTAGAAAGAGTGTTGTAGAACGACAAACTTCTAATAAATAGAAGCGTTCCGGTCGTTAAAGAGCAGATACACCCGATTTACATGAGTCAAGTATGTACACTGCCGGAACAAAGAATTGGCAGAACATATTTTTTGCCACAATTTTTATTCTAATATTTTTCCGCCAATTTTTTATAAAAATATGGTTCATTCCAAGGAACGTAGATAACAAGAAGGGCAACTCGTTATAATTGTAGTCAAAGTGCGCAACATGGGCGTGCCTTCCCTTTTGCACAAGTGCGTCACTGTTGCGCACTTTCGCACAATTATAACGAGTTGTCCTTTCTTGTAATCTATGTTCTTTGGTTCATTCTACAACAAAAACATAAAAATAGAATTCCTAAACTTTGTGCAAAACTCGCGAAAATTCAGCAAATTTTCATGTAATCGGCCTTTTTTTGTAGCTTAATCAACTTAATTATTACAAAGTACAAGTTTTAAGTAGCTAGGAATTACCGTTGATTTTTGATATTTTTTCCCGCAGTCTCTTCCATACAAAAATTTTTTTTCCTAAATAGTTTATATGGAAAAAATGCAAAACACCTTCAAAAAAAATCTAAAAAATCGATAGGGGTCTTCCCTTAAACTCGTAAAAACCTCGTAAAGCTCGTAAATTTACGAGCCTTGTAAAAGAACTCAAAATTTGTATGGAGCTCTATTTACGAGCCCCTCGTAANGTACAAGTTTTAAGTAGCTAGGAATTACCGTTGATTTTTGGCATTTTTTCCCGCAGTCTCTTCCATACAAACATTTTTTTTCCTAAATAGTTTATATGGAAAAAATGCAAACCACCTTCAAAAAAAATCTAAAAAATCAATAGGGGTCTTCCCTTAAACTCGTAAAGACCTCGTAAACCTCGTAAAGCTCGTAAATTTACGAGCCTCGTAAAAGAACTCAAAATTTGTATGGAGCTCTATTTACGAGCCCCTCGTAAGGTTACTGGGCAACTTTGATGCGCAAACTTCAGTGTTGCCGAGTGACCGAAGACTTTATACTAAAATGTATGACAAAATATGAAAACTATATTTTAGCTATCATTCGAGCTGTTATGAAAAATACTACGAAACAAAAATTTATTCACAGAACCCTTTTCAACCTGTCAAACAGTCACTTTACGCACCTATTTACGCAAATGCAAAAGGGGGGCGTTGCCGTAACAGCCTCGTAAACTTACGAGTTTTACACAGTTTAAGGCAAAAAAAAATTGAAAAAATTTGCAATTTTTTATTACCGAAATTCGCGAAAACCGCTCTAATGATTTTGTTTTTTTTTCTTTAGTCAAATTCTCCTTTCGTTTGGTATATGGGAAGTATTGGTTGATATCTTCCAAAGTTGATTATTTTATTCAAATATATGGGCATACATGATTTTCCATACAAAATCCCTTCGCCATCATTTTGCAAACACGTGCTTGCGCGGAAAGTGAGAGAGAGACAAATAGAATGTGCGTGTGTATTTTGAGTAACAGATGTCGCAATATTTATAACCTAATCGCAGCGTATGTATGTAAATACAAACATACGTGCATATGTTGATTGCAGTTAATGTGGATTTGTTTTTCTTACAGTAATATGTAAAAACTTTTTCGTCACATCAGATCTGTACCGTTCGTTCGATTGTACAAAATGGGGTATCAAAGTAAAGGGCTTGGCCTGTGGATGTGCAATAACTTCTTAGTTTTTTCAAAAAGAGTTGCCACCTGATAAAAAAAATGAAATTCAAATTATTTTAAAGTTAAGTTTTGAAAAGGCTTTAATTCTTATTGGTATGTAGCAGGGTTGCCACCTGTTTCAAAAAGCAAGTTCGGCCTTTCCCTCTTTTGTCCTTTTTCTTTTCGTCTTCTGCATCCAACTTCAAGACATAACGCCCTGTTAAAAATGAAAATGCCATCTGCTCGGCGCTAGCGCCGCGCTATTGTGGGATGCTTCATACAAATTGCATGGGCATGAGGATTTTTGAGTTCCTTCGCGCTTTACGCGTCAATTTAGGGACGGCAGTAATGCTTTGACAACTGGGTCTTTGAGCGGCTCGTGCAAAAGGCATACATAAACGCTATCAGCTGACTGTCTGTATTTGTTTTCACCACACATTTTTGGTGGACTTTTTGTGACTCTCTCCTACTGAGGGCCTGTGCCAATCGGTAAATTTTTTCTCCGTAGTGAGACGGGGTGGAAAGATTTGCTATGGTGTACAAATAAATTGAATTTTGCTGTGCCAATTGCAAAGTAAAGTTTTGACAGCTGAAAAACCAAACAAACGCCCGTGTGAAAGCTCTATTTTTGTGTGTGGCTGAAATTGTTAAAATTTATATTTATAGTAACTTGTTTTTTCGGCTTTCATTTTCATGTTCCCTCTTTATTACCGCCAAGCAATAATAATTGCGTCTTCTAACTCGCAAGAAGTTGCAAAAATTTACAGGATTTTACCAGAAAGCGTTCCCGTACCCGGTTCTCTGGCTTCTTTTGTTTTGTGACAGATTTACAGGTTTTAACCTAGAAAAGATGGGGAACGCAACTAATATGTGTATACATGTTTATGAGCTGTCAAAATTTTACCTAGCCTCATGAGCTAGGTAAAATTCTGACGTTCGTTTTCACCACGAGAAATGTCAAATTTTTACTTTATCCGACAAAATTTCCTCTTTTCTATCATTTGACACAGGCCCTCAATACCCAAATCATCTCAAGTCACAAAATAGTCACTAACTGTTAGTCACAAATTTAGTGACTTGAGATGAGACTGAATTACTAGCTCTGATCCATCTGATCCAATACTTTTCGTGTAAAATCCTGTAAAAATGACAATTAGCAAATTATTCTCTGAAGTGAGAGTAAAAAGTGAGTAATAACAAAAAGTACGGGAACAAAAAAGCATTTTCCCAGTAAAAAACGGCAACCAGTGATCGCTTAACACTTATCAGGATTTTACCAGAAGAAAAAGTTCGGGTAAAATATTGCAACTTCATTCTCTACACAACTCTCCAAAAATCGCTCTCATTTACAGGATTTTAGTGGAATTTGGAGTACGGGATCATTTTTCCTGTAACTTCATGCAAGTTCGTGTTAAAACTTGTAAGTTCAATGAGTTACTGGATCGGAGCTACTGTATCCCAGGGTCTATCTATGTGTTGTCATACAGATAGTAAATTTAAATATATAAATCTATAGATTTACGTTCTTTGGTTCCAAAGTCTTTTTTTTTGTATCTTTTATAGGGTTAAGAATTTATCGATTAAAAATTTGCAAATTGTTTCTGAGAATAGAGAAATAAATAAAATAACGGTAATGCAATCAGATGTTGGGGGTTAATTGTCAAATAACGAGTAAACTCTATAATTTACTTCGAAAGCTTGTTTTAATTTCCTTTGCATCTTTTTTCGAACCAATAAAAATAAGTGGAAATGTGAAGTTTCGTTATTGAGTTTATGTGTATCAATTGTATATGCCTTGAATTGTATATTGCATGCACTTAAAATAACTATTGTAAACTTAACTGCTGTGGTTAAGGCCACTTGATCAAATAATTAATTACAGGTAAGAGAAAAATACTTCGTAAATTGTACGTTTTACTCTATGTGTATTCCAAATGATCACTTAAAACTGGTGTGTAAATTTCATTGAATAAATTTTCGACCAGTTTATCGCAACGATGTTTAGCTTGAGAAAAAGTCTGGGCATACACTATGTTAATGAGAACCTCTTTTATTCATTGCTTGGAGACGTTTAACAGTTTCTTCTAAACACTTTATACACATATTCCGTGTTTTTAGCGGCTTGGAGGGGTACTGTGTGGCATTTAAAATCGTGTTGTAAATCGCTCTGATTCTGCAACTCTTCTGTGCTTGGGAGCCGGACTCGTAGACTTTGTGTTCACTCATCGTATGCGCACGTAATTCTTCACTACTAGTGAAACAAAGTTCACATAATTTACAAAGAAACTCTTCCGACGCAACATCAATCTTGTGGGTAGTTAAATGGCGGATGAGATTTATCCTAAAACGAAAATTGTTTCTAGAAAATTAAATCAATTTTTTTTTTATGACAATCGTACTTAATGGCGAAGCATTTGAAACATATTCGGCATTGGTATTTCTTTGCACGACTTGGTTCCAACGCTGACGTTGTCATTAAATCTACCACATGCGCCGATGAACTTATATCAGCCGCAATCCCTTGTGCAGAATCATCTATAATAACGCCAGACTTGTCGTTCAGTGGGTCATCATCTATATAATCGAGCAGAATATTGTTATTGTCATTTTCCTCTATATTTGCCTCGCGGTTCGCGCATGACATGGCAGAGTCCACTCGAACATAGTCGTTTAAGTGTTTCTTCATATGTTCGTGCAGAGAGTTTTTGTCAGCTAATACCTCCTTGCAGATGGCACAAGTTATTATCTCAACATCGCCTTGTTGTGATTTAATTGTGTGTCTTTTAAGGATGTGAGTCTGGAGGAATATAAAATACAAGAATTTTTCGACAATATCTACTTTATATATTTTGTAATCTTACCTTTAAACCATCCTTCTGTCGAAAAAGAGCTCCACACTTTTCACATGGAAATGGTTTTTCGCCGGTATGTCTACGCATGTGGAACACCAGACTCTTGCATTGCGTAAAACCTCTATGACAAACTACGCACTGGTATGGCTTTTCACCTGTATGGGTGTACATATGCTGCTTTAGTGACACATTCTGGGTGAATGTTTTATCGCAAATATGGCATTGAAATGCTCGATTGCCTTCATGTGTTGCCATATGTCGGTTGAGATTGGTTTTGGTGCTGAAGTCACGATTGCACTTAAAGCATACGTAACGGTTTGATGTGTTTAGTCCCTCGCCTTTTTTTGCAATTCGAGTACTGGAACTGCGATTATTCGTTCTGTTTTGGGTTTTCCGTGTTCTGCCTTTAGCTTCTTTTTCAGTAGCTTCAATGTTCTCGGTTGTAGACTGGGCATGTTTTGATGCATCGGCGTCATGCTCTTCGACAATATTTTCCTGTTCAATTGATTTCATGTGAACCTCTGTATCTTCCAATATTTCTTCATCTGCACCAAACGAATGCATTTCATTTGTTTTGCTATCCATCGAATTGTTATCTTCTAGGTAATCATCGGCATCTTCAAGCATTGCTTGATATTCCTTAAAAAATCCACCACTTTTTCGCGATTTCTGGCCAACGTCATTACTGCTGTGTATATCATCACTTGGTTGTAGATTTTCTTCCAAGACTTCTAACTCCGTTTGTGACTCATCATCGGTGAGGGCTAGTATTTGTATCTCGTGATCAGAAGAATTTTCATTTTGGAGATGTTCGCTCGAAAGAGGTTGCATTTCCACAATTTCGGTTAAATCTGCATCCCCTTCAACATTGAATTCGGATATGCGCTCTTCTTCTTCTGGTCCTCTTTCTATTTGCTCCTCCGACTTGCATGGGTCATGAGTTTCTACATCATTGTTCGAATTTTGCCTTTTAACTTGTTTCAACATGTTGCTGCCTACATTTTTTATCGCAAGATCGGATTTTAGATCGTTTGACGATGCTTGGGATTTCTCTCTGGCAGTATTTTTTTTCTTACTGGGCAGTTGGGATGGGCCAGTGGTGTCTTTATACTTTGGCTCGGAAACTTGCTCCGAAGTAGGTTCGTCACTAATCCCATCCTTACTTTCATCTTGAAGAATCGTCGAAAATAAATCGTCATCATCCTCATCTTCTCCGTTGACGTTATTTGA